ATGTGAGAGGACAATTTATAGCACTTTAAATTACCCACAAGAAAAGTGGGAAAATCTAAAATGACACCCTAACGTCACAATTAAAAGAACTAGAGAAGCAAGAGCAACACAAACAAAAGCTAGGCAAGGAAGGCAAGGAATAAACTAAGATCCAGAGCAGAACTGAAGGAATAGAGACACAAAAACCTCAAAAAATCAATGAATCCAGGAGCCGCACTATTCACAATAGCAAAGACTTGGAATCAACCCAAGTGTCTATCAGTGACAGACTGGATTAAGAAAATGTGGCACATATACACCATGGAATACTATGCAGCCACAAAAAAAGATGAGTTCGTGTCCTTTGTAGGGACATGAATGCAGCTGGAAACCATCATTCTCAGCAAACTATCGCAGGAACAGAAAACCAAGCACCGCATGTTCTCACTCATAGGTGGGAATTGAACAATGAGATCACTTGGACACGGGAAGGGGAACTTCACACACCAGGGCCTATTGTGGGGAGGGGGGAGGGAGGAGGGATGGCATTGGGTGTTATACCTGATGTAAATGACGAGTTGATGGGTGCTGATGAGTTGATGGGTGCAGCACATCAACATGCCACATGTATACATATGTAACAAACCTGCATGTTGTGCACATGTACCCTAGAACTTAAAGTATAATAAAAAAAAAAAAAGGAAAAAAAAAATTAAGCTCTCTACCCCTTCAACATTCTGGTATATTATAAATACATTTGAAAATAAAATAAAATAAAATATCACCCGGCATACAGACCTTAAACCTTCTAACTTCTGACAAAGAACTTTGCCTTTCTACTTAGGAATTCAATAAAAAGGGAGAACTCTCAAGCCTCCTCCGGAACACAGCTAAGTGCTGAGGAATGCTAACTTCCAGGAGAGCATAGAGCGGTTCATCTTCAGTCAATGTACATGCCCTGGAGCCAAGAAATGGGTTAGAGAAAGGGGCGTGGTACTCCAGACCTGCATATGTGATTCTGGATGAACAGTGACCACAGAGAACAAAGGAGTAGAGAGAGGAAGAGACTCATGATGTACCCAAATCACCTGTGTCACGGTTAATTGTCAACACAGTTCCCGAAGGAGGTCTTTGGAAGGGATACTACAAGACTCCAAGTCAAGTGATCCAGAAATAAATGCTTTAGAAAGCACGTCAGTGCAAGTTTGGACCCTGCTGAAATTCTGGTGCCGTTTTGTTTTCAGTGACTGGGGTACATGTTTCGGCGACCATTCTTCCTGAGGCTGAGTTCATACCATATCCCACGTTTTACCTCTAGCCTGGAGGCAATCTCTGGACCTGCTCTTGAGGTTTGAGGGGAACTGTTCTAGTTGATTTCTACTGTCACAGGTCTTCCTTTCATGTCCTTCTGTCTTGCATTTCCACTCCCCCTCAGCAACTCCCCTATTGTTCTCACGCTCCACATTGTCAGTCTCTTTTCTCCCTTAGTTCAACCAGTTGACTCTTTAGAGCTCCAAAAATACAAGAGTTTGGTTGTTTTAGGAAAAGAAAGTCCGGAGGGCAGCTATGTAGAAACCTTGTGAAATGATGGAACAGAAAACAGAAATTATAATCATGTCTCTGAACAAGGCCATCTGAGGTGAATGATCTGTCAGAATAAAGTATATAATGTTTTCATATATAATGAAGCATATAATCTGACAGAGAAAGAGAAGTAGGAAGGGTCCAGGATAGCGATCCTTAATCCTAGATGTCTATTAGCATTATCTAGGGGAACTTAAAAATACAGATACCTGGACCCCATACCAGATTTCCATTTAACTAGGGTGGAAATGGATTGACCATCAGTTTATAGAGTCTCCATAGGTGTTATGAATGTGCAGGCAGGGATGAGAATCATTGGTCTCATCAGAGCTCAGCTAATCCAGTACAGGATGATAGCTAAATGTACAGCCAGCAGAGAAAATGCTGAAAAACAAATCACGAAGTCTGCGTTCCTATAGTTAATGTTGGCATAGCCTGAAACAAAAAGAAGAGAAAAAGTGATAGGTAGAAGGACTTCGTGTCCCCTACTCCATGACTCCTCTCTTTCAAATGTGTTGTCTTGCAGTTTACATTCTTTAGGCCCTTGGACACCAAGGCAAACAGACCTTGATAATATAATCAGTCATCAATCAATAACTCAAATATTATTGCTGTATAATACTTTTATTAAAGTTTTATGGAAAAAACCCACATTTCTGTATGTGTCATATCATATAATTTCCAGGTGTGTCAGAGTCCAGTGACAAATTACGTTTGAAGAACAGCTTTAAAATCCACTCTTGTCTGCCACTCCTTTATGAAATATTGAAAAGCAGCTCTGTACCTCAGCATTAAAGGTTACAAAAAGCACCATTAAAAAGAGGACTCACATATTGAATTCCCTTCAAATTAGTCTTATCTCTCCTTTCTGACAGATACAGAGCTGCACTCATTTGAAACGCTGCTGTGTAATACCAACCAACATGCTCCAATTTACCAAAATTCAAACAAGTCTTATATATGAAACCTGTGTAGCGATTAGGACTAACCCACCACAGTGAGCTTTGGCTGTCCTAAAACCACAAGCTGGGTTAGGTAAGTGTTTTGTAGAGGGGAACAGAAAAGAAGTAAGATCATCAATACCTAATATATTACTTAATGTAGATATCCCTTGACGATTTAACCTGACACCTACAAAATCCATAGTGTTTAGTATTTCACACCAATCTCACTGCAAAAGTGCTGTGGTACATACAATTCAAGTTAACTCCAACTAATATTGGAACTAATAAAAAAGTAATTTATAACAAAGCTTATTCACTTCAAAGCACAATTGAGAAAAGCAAATCCAGACAAAGCCCAAACTAGAATCCTAGAGGGATTCCATTGCTAAGAATTGCCATGTGTTATGTAATTACTGTAATGTAGTTACTGCAAGTAATAAACTTGAGTTTTTCTCTTTTTTCCTTCTTTCATAGAATTTAAAAAAGATTTGGCTCTTTACTCTAAAAGTTTGGGTTCATTGCAGAAATCACAGTCCTTCCATATCCAATTGTGACTGGCACTTAAGGAGAGACAAATGCTAAGATCCAAAGAGTTTTGAAAGACCCTAATTGCTACCCCTCCCAGGTCCCGCATTCCATGGGTAACTGGAGTCAGCAACCCCTGGTAGAAGACAGCAAGAACTGGGCTTTAAGGGTGAATCAGAATTATGCAGGAATACACTGTACATCTGCTAGTAAGCCCACGCCCCAAATCACTAGAACGTGAGAATGTAGAAATCTCTGAGAACAGAATGTATTTCAAACACACACAAACATAGACTATTGCATATCATTTTTAGTTGAGGTCAAAATGATTAAAGCCCTATTTCCCCAATTAAAAGCAGGGAGTTCTATTACTATGTCTTCTTCATTTATATCACAGATTAATATAAACCCAGTCTAGAGGTATCACTTCTTTCCAAACTTAACTTCATTTCAGCAGCATACATGGAATATTAATTCTTTTCAAAGTTTTTATTCCAGACCCATTAGATCTACAAGAGACTAGAAAGAATTGGAGAAAAGTAAGTGGGCCTGGGTTTGTAGGATCCTCACAAACTTCTCCTGTATTCTTCTTTTACAAAGTTTCTCCACCATACAAGCCTACGTTTAAAAAGCCAACATTATTGAGGTTAGGTATGCCCTTCAGGGGTGTTGCCTAGAATGGTTAAATCCCATTCCATTTCAAGCTTAAAGGAGGCTAACAATCATGGTGTGGAATTTTTCCATACCAGCAGCATGGCTAACGTATGTGTTTTACGTAATGTCTGACACTCTGGGAAAGTCTGCCTGACAAATGAGCTTAAAGCAGAGTGGAAAGGAAAGAGGAGAGAATTGGAACACGATGCAAAGGGAAGATGGTTATACACTGCTAATTCTGTACAGTGAGATCCAAGGACACCACCATGTGGTGTCTGATTTAATTTCTTTTTAAAAGAGGACACTTTCAGTTCTAAGTTACTCAAGACTTTATTCTCCTATTATTACTCCTCAGCTCAGTCACTCTTCTCTTCCCCACAATTCCAAAACTATGTTGCAGTTCTTTAAGGGTCAGCCCTCATGAAGAGCTATTTTCTTACTTTGCCTACTTTGACTCTGTAAAATTCCAACAGGCAAAATAAAGGCTAAAAAAATTTTTTGCCTTTACTCGTTTTCAAAATCTGTCAAACTCTCCTCAGCATAAAATTAATTATCCCTTTAACTAATCAACACACAAGGACAAATGAGTAGTACTTTGGGTTACTTCCTTCTCTTCCTCCCTCTCTTCCAAATAGACTGAGATAAGTCTTCTCAAAACCATGGGATGTATTAGCAGTATAGAAAAGGGACAGCACCCAGTGCTGAATGAGTCAGCAACCAGTGCCCCCTACCCATTCCCTTCTATACCAGCTGGTGGGCTCCCATTTCACATCTGGCTGAGAGTTACCTCAGAACTTGGGAAACTGACACTCTCTGCACATTTCCAGGTAGAAAGATCTGAAGGTCACTAGCATCAAAATCTACTGTCGGGAGGCCGAGCTGGATGGATCATAAGGTCAAGAGATCGAGACCATCCTGGCTAACATGGTGAAACCCCGTCTCTACTAAAAATACAAAAAATTAGCTGGGCGTGGTGGCGGGCACCTGTAGTCCCAGCTACTTGGGAGGCTGAGGTGGGAGAATGGCGTGAACCCAGGAGGTGGAGCTTGCAGTGAGCCGAGATCGCGCCACTGCACTCAAGCCTGGGTGACAGAGCGAGACTCCGTCTCAAAAAAATATATAAAAAAACCTACTGTCACTGGGGGCAGACCCATTTCACAAAAGCCTCAGGCCTGAGAGAAATTGAAGAGATCTCTTTTCCTGCCCCACTCTACTGTGTGGAGTAAAAATTGTCATACACGAACACATAGATATTACGTTTCAATACTGTTGACAAGAAATATGAATATAACAAACTTCATGTAACAACCAAGATTTTGAATCCTCCTAAGTGGCCCACTTATTTAATGGGTATTGGATAAAAACAAAATTCTAGTACAACTGAAGACTGTAAATCCTGAGAGTTGGTTATAATAGGATCTGGCCTGGATTTTTAAATGGCACACCATTCAAAAAGTGGTTGGGAACATAAAAGGTTCTCCACAAAAGCCTTTTGCTGCAGAAGGTGGCCTTGGATGGTTAAAGTAGTATTTCTTAGCAATTAACCACCAAAGCATTTAGTTATTTGCACCCCAGCAAAACAACAATCCCATACTTTACTCCATCACACCTGGAATCCAAGAGGTCTACAAGTCCGAAGACAACTGCGTTGTCAGCTTTGCATGGAAAAGACAGGAGGTAGCTAAACTGACCTGTAGGTGCCCTTTCCGTGTGGCTAGGCTCATCTGAGCAGTCAGGGAGTCTCTCATTCATCAATAGTTTAGCCTCCTTTAGTACTATTTGACTTATCTGTAAAATGGAAGAGCCCCAGCTACTTGGGAAAAAATGTTTTATCTCTGAACCCCAAAAGTGGATTGAATACTTTTCAGCTCACAAATGGAATTCAGTGACCCCAATTAATCATCAAACCCTTTAAAAAGAAGAGGCAGGAGATCAAAATGATTTTGTTAACACTTGGTGCAAAGAACGATACTTTTCATGGTTGGGAATACTAGGAATACTTTCTTGCTTCTTGGCCTAACAATCTTTAAAATGAGGGAACCCTTTAGGTGCATCAAATGAATTAAATGAACTTGAGCAGTTTATCTAGAGCAGTGTTTAGTGTAGTGATGTGTACAGGGTTGGCCATATTGATCTAAGAATGTGGAAGGCTAGACTAGAGAAGAAAATCTGAAGAAGCATTTATCAAAAGCCTGAAATTCTCCAACGCAGTCTCTTAAGACCAATGAAAAGGCATTTTTTTAATTAAAAAAAAAATGCAGGCACATAAAAATCTTTCAAGGATGAAAGACATGAAAGTACTCCCCGGTTCCACTCCTAGCTTCAGAACTGTTTGCTGAGAGAGAAAAGACAGAAGCAGGGCCAGGCAAAGTGTGAAAACTTTCGGGAATTTGCCAATACAGCCTGAGCCGTGGCACCAAACTAAAACAAAAAAGTAGATGTTCTGCATTCTGCTTTTCTTATAATGCGGAGACATATTTCCTTTAGAAGTTAAAACAAACAGGACAAAGTGGCCTGCGCCTGTGCTGGGCTAAAAAGGGACCTCCTGACAGCCCTAGTGTCTGGGGTGGATCAGGTGCCACAAAACTTTTCAGTCACTTACCCAGTGAGTTTTGTGTTAGAGAGGGGTCAGGTATGGGATCTGAAGGAGGCTACTAAAGGAAGAATGTGAAATGAGAGGAAAAAGGGTTCTTGTGGGGCATCTGGTATCATATAAACAACACACATTGTGCCACATACTCTGGGAATATAGAGAACCCATGCAAGAAAAGCTGCCCTTGCAATTAGGCAGCTGTTAAGTAGGGCAGCGGTCTAGCACAAGCCCATTCCTTGGAGAGCCAAGGTAGCAGTGATAGAATCTCCGCCCAACAAGGATCCTAAGAGTTTGCTGTTCTTTCGTTTTAGGAAAAAAGCTTCCTATATAGTTATTCCTGCAGCGCCCCCAAACAGGTCTTGGTGAAAACCCATAGGCAGAAATAATACTTCTAGCTGGGGCTAGGAGGCTTTCATTTACCTTCTTCTCATATGTATATATTTTTTTCTTAAAATAAATTCCGTGAACTCATAAAGCTCTCATCTGCAATCAAATGCAAAAGCAGAGCGTCCTACTCAGAGGCTCTGAAACACACATATCGGCCTCAAAGCAAATCAGCCTTCCAGTCTCAGGTAAGACTGGTTCAGTCCAGAAAGGCAAGGGAGATGCTTCTCCTGAATCCTTGGAGGCAAGAAGGGATTCCTTCAGATGGGCTTGTATAGCAGAGTAGTAACATACTTCTTCTTGTAGCGATGGGTTGCGCTAAGGACCATCACACTGTCCTGCAAGGAAAAGAAACATACGCAGCTAATTCATTAGTTCAGACAGCAGGTAGCTCTTCCCAGCCATCAGTCCTTCAGTCACTCACTTTTAACAGAGATAGTTTGATGTAAGAGAAGGAGGTCAGATAAGTTTTAGTTCCAATTCTGACTCCTGTCATCATTCTACTTGTGGCCTTGGGTAATCTACTTAGTGTGTCCAAGTCTTTTTATCTCATCATTACAAAAGATAACACCTACCATTAAGGTGGCTCTGATGATTATATGAGAATATCTGACATAGTTTCTGACACATAAAAGTGCTGAAGAAATATTAGTCTCCTACCCTGCTCCCTTCCCTACTTTAAATTCTAATATTGGGCCTAAAACTAGCAAGGAAAAAAAAAAAAGAAAGAAATATTCTGGCATCCATTTCCAGAAGAAAGTCTTAAAGACAATGAGAAAAAAAGAAACAATCCTTCTGAAAAACTATCTCCAAGTCCCAAAGCAGGTCTAACTTCCATTTAATGCCAGGGATGAATTCAAAAAGATCTCTCTGATTTAGAGGGAACCTAGGAATCCCTCTCCATCCTCGAACAAAGTACATGCCAAAATCCTCTTCAGAAAGACACCCAATCCAATGGATCAATTCCAAACCACCTAAACAATCTGAGAGAATCAGGAATGGGTCTGAACCAAGCTGAGCCACAATAACCAATACCTTCACCTGAGTCAGAACCAGTAAGAAGAGAGCAAGAAGCACCATTTCCCAGGCTGTGCTGCAGACTACGGATGTACCACAGGAGGAGATGGCAAGCCTAGGTAAATTAAATGACACCCAACGAGCAGTTACAGGAGGCAAAATCCATCAGATCCCAAAGAACCTAAGCAAATCCCATTAAGAACAAGTGTATCCTTCTACCTTCCCCCATACTGTATTATCCACCATGAATGCTTCTCGCATTAACACTCCAGAGTTGACACAAAGCCTAAATACGACAGAAGCAAGGCAGGTAAAAAATTCACTTTTACACTTCCACAGGTTTTGTGGAAATGAGGAATAGGTGAGAAAAACCTACTTGGAAAGACCTGGCATAATGATAATATAGGAAAGAATATGAAGTTAGCATAGGCGGATTGGACCTCAGCAGTCCTGTCTCTGGTACTTACTGGCAATTTGACCTTCTCTGAGCCTTAGTTTCTTTATCTATAAAACAGGGGTTAAAAATAATACTTACAAGGTTATTATAAAAATTAAATTCAATAATATATTTTTAAGTGTTATATTGTACCACATAATTTGTTAGCTGTATCAGTGATTTCCCGAATCCAGCTATATATCCAAGTAAAAGCAGCTTAAAAAAACTATAGGGCCCATCCTAGATGCACTTATTCAGAATCTCTAGGAATGGAGCTGCTGAATCTGTATTTTTACAATCTCCCCCAGGAGACTCTGATGATAATCAGCCTGGTTTGATAATCACAGAGCTATATAACTTTATTCCAATAGCCAAACCACAAAGACACAACAAGACAGAACAGAATGGCTATTTTCAACCCAGACTCTAAAGCAGCAGAAAAACCAAGGAGGACTCTAGAGTTGAAGAGACAGGGCAAATCTGGTCACATCTCTCCTTTAACTCGTGTATAGGAGAGATGCAAGCACCTGAGTATATATGAATGAGGCACCTGAAAGTAGCTCAATTCCACCTTCAAAAAAGTGAAAGCCTTAATATCACATTAAAGCATTCTTTGAACTGGAAGCTAAACCTGCCTTTTCTGCAGAATAAATCCTATGCTATGAACTCAAACTTAAGCAAATAGCTGGTGGAAAGATTCTAGCCACCCAAAAAATAACTGGGCAGCAAAAAAGTCTTATCAGAGGGCAATTCAGCCAGCCAGAACACAGAGACTGAGATTTTAAAACAAACAACCTATTAGTTAAAAAAAGAGAGTTCTTCTATAATTTGATCATTACTGCCAGTTTCAGCTTCAATGAAATAGCAGAGAAAGTAACCACTGAGAACATATGTTACCCTTGACCTCTCATTCCAGGGAGCTCTGTGAAGAGCCAGGGCCACCACTCACCTTAATGGACAATGCATAGAGATGGTTCAGCATAACATGGTTGGGCTCAGGGAGTAAGGCTGGGTCACACTAAGAGAGAGAGAAAAAAATTACTAAATGAAATTAACGCACAGACAAACCAAACAGCTTACTCTTCCTCAGAGCTCTTTGAGAAATTTAAACTAGAATGCGCTCTCTCTTTTCAATAATGTACCCACTCCAGTATGTATCAATAATAAAATCCTATTACAGAAAATTAGAAAAATTATCAGTCCAGGGCACAAATCTTACGCCTCAGCATCTACTAATCTTCCTTAAGAGAGTTAAAACGAAAATCTTGCCCACAACACACAAGGAAGAGTTGTGTTACAAGGTAAAAATAATCATAGTAGGAATCAAGTAGATTGAATAGAGACATAAATTATATACAAAAAAACTTTTATAATTCTTTTGTACATCCCCAAATGATAACTACTACTTCATGCTGTGCTCAAACAGAAGTCCATAGCTCTGATCCTGATTTTATTACGATGAGGAGACAACTACGATTTTTTATATGAGTGGCTGAAGCAGCTGTGACTCAGCACTGGAAAAAGGCAATCTGTAATGTTACTGATATGTGTATGACTTGTAATCTCAACACACCTCTGTAATCATCCTAACCTCCAGGATCACTGAACTTTGGTCCAAATGGTCCTAGACACTCCCAGATGCCCCAGTAATACTGAGGATACTCACAGAAATATTAGTGTCTTTGTTAAGAATAACTTGAAGTAGATGAGGAGGAAGGATGGGTGGGGATTTGAATCTTTCCTCAGATCGAAACACATACATTTCTTGACCATAAGGCCCTGGGGGTGAGCTGGAAAGGTCTGAAAGATATTTATACAAATATGAGAAAGAGTTGGAGAATTAGCAAGAATGCATGGAAAAAGTTATCAATACATGGCAGCTAACATTAAATATAGTAGAAGTCCTGGATCACAAACTTGTGACCTGTGGGATCTACAGCTGTAAGGTAACCAGAGAAAAAATCCGAGTCCCCTGGACATAAACCATGAAGCTCCTCAACATGGCAACATGATTTGGGAGACAAAGAGATAAAGACTCAAAGACCCAGGCTCAAGGAAGAGCTATTATATTTATCAGTTGTAGGACCTTGGAAGAATCCCTCCATAATGGTCAGTTTCTTCATAAAATAAAAATAATCTTTGCCCTATTTCATGATGTTTTTGAGGAAATCAAATTAGATAATGGATGTGAAGATGTCTTGTAACTTTCAAACAATGGGAAAAGATTAGATTTTTTTTTCCAGCCAAACAACAAGTTTATAAACCCCTAAGACTACCAATACAATAATGATTACAACAATAAGGACAAAATGTATGTAACTGTCATTAGGGAAATGCAAATCAAAACCATAATAAGCTACCATTTCATACTCACTAGGACAGCTAAAATCAAACAAATAGACAGCAACAAGTGTCAACAAAGGAATGGAGAAATTGGAACGCTCACACTATTCCCACTGCTAGAGGGAATGTAAAGTAGTCCCGCCACTTTGGAAAACAGTTTGGCAGTTCCTCAAATAGTTAAACATAAAGTTACTACATGACCCAGCAATTATACACTGGGTATATACCCAAAAGAAATGAAAACATATGTCTACACAAAAACTTGTATGTTCATAATAGCATTATTTATAATAGCCAAAAAGTGGAAACAATCAAGATGTCTATCAACTAATGAAAAGATAAACAAACAGTATGTCCATACAATGGGCTCTTATTCAGCCATAAAAAGGAGCAAAGTACTGATACATGGTTACAAGATGGATGAATCCTGAAAACATGATGCTAAGAAGCAAGTCACAAAAGACCACAATTTGTAGGATTCCACTGATATGAAATGTCCAGAAGAGGCAAATCCTTAAGACAGCAAGATTTGTGGTTGCCAGAGGCGGAGGGGAGGAGGGAATGGGATGTGACTGCTCATGGGTACAGGGTTTATTCTGCAGGTGATAAAAATACTCTGGAATTAGATAATTGTGATAATCACACAACTCTGAGTATACTAAAAATTACTGAGTTGTACAATTTAAGAGTTAATTTTATGATGTATAAATTACATCTCCAAAAAAAATGAAAAAAGTATGCAGACAAGAATAGAATGAAATATACTAAAATGAAGAGAAATATATTATGATAATATCTTTTATTTAAATGTTATTGTTTCTTTTTTGAGACAGGGTCTTGCCCTGTCACCTAGGCTGGCGTGCAATGGCTTGATCACGGCTCACTACAGCCTTGACCTCCTGGGCTCAAGCAATCCTCCTACCTCAGCCTTCAGAGTAGTTGATACTAAAGGCACATGCCACCACGCCCAGCTAATTTTTTGATTTTTTTGTAGAGACAGAGTCTCACTATGTTGCCCAGGCTGGTCTCAAACTCCTGGGCTCAAGTGATCCTCCCACTTCAGCCTCCCAAAGTGCTAGGATTACAGGTGTGAGCCACCAAATTCATTGTAAGAACTAAGTTCCAGTGTTCTATTGCACAGTAGAGTGCATATAGGTAACAATAATGTAACAAAATAAAACAGCTAGAAGAAAGGATTTTGAATGTTATCACCACAAAGAATGACAAATGTTTGAGATGATGAATATGCTAATTGTCCTGACTTGATCATTACACATATGAAATGTATTGAAACATCACATTGTATCTCACAAATATGTACAATTGTTATATGTCAATTAAAGACCAAAAAATACATATAAGGCAAAAGGAAAAAAAGTAGAATACTCTGATATTAAATAGTATCTTTAAAATATATGGAACTTGAAACTTTACAAAGTATTATGCTTTGTTATTTCATTACATGATCCACAAAATACCCTTGGGAAATGCACAAAATAGTTTTTATTGCCTTTTCACCAGAAAAAAAATAAATACAAATTGGTTATTTGCCTAAAGTTACATACATGACTAGATAGTAAATGAGGGCAGACTAAAATCCATTATCTGTAGATTCCTAGTAAAAAATGGATTATAAGCGTTACCTCAGTAGATTGGGAAATTAGGGGAAAGAGGGAAATATCAAAAGTATGTTAGTCTCTCTATATAATTATGATTACATGTCTATTATTTATTGGTTACTTAGCCAGAATCATATAATACAAAAATTAGTTATAAGTATCCTCATAATCTAATTCAGCATTTTTAAACCCTTTTAAATTACTGTCCTACCAGTCAAAAATAATGTCCAGTTTAACCTTCTGAGCTTATATGATGAAAACAACATTTTCAAAATTTTCCTCAACAGATTACTACACTATTGATAAATCTTTTTTTTTTTTTTTTTTTTGAGACGGAGTCTCGCTCTGTCGCCCGGGCTGGAGTGCAGGGGCGCGATCTTGGCTCACTGCAATCTCCGCCTCCCGGGTTCACACCATTCTCCTGCCTCAGCCTCCTGAGTAGCTGGGACTACAGGCGCCCGCCACCACGCCTGGCTAATTTTTCGTATTTTTTTTAGCAGAGACGGGGTTTCACCGTGTTAGCCAGGATGGTCTTGATTTCTGACCTCGTGATCCGCCCGCCTCGGCCTCCCAAAGTGCTGGGATTACAGGCATGAGCCACCACGCCAGGCTTTTTTCTTTTTTTTTGAGATGAAGTCTCACTCTGTCATCCAGGCTGGAGTACAGTGGCGCCTTCTCAGCTCACTGCAACCTCCCTCTTCCACCTTCAAGCGATTCTTCCACCTCAACCTCCTGAGTAGCTGGGACTAGAGGCGTGTATCACCACGCTTGGCTAATTTGTATTTTTAGTAGAGACAGGGTTTCACCATGGTAGCCATATTGGTCTCCAGCTCCTGACCTCAGGTGATCCACACGCCTAGGCCTCCCAAAGTGCTGGGATTACAGGCCTGAGCCACTGTGCCCAGGCAATAATCTCCTTTAGAAACAGCAAAGCCACCCTTCTCCCCTGAAATTCAAATATGTTCCACTTAAGGTATTGTGCCTCCTCAGCTGAGAATCACTGAAAGTGTAAGTCCCTGGTTTTACTGTGAAGAAACTCAGAATGAAAAAGGTTGAGACATTTGTTCATGATGGCAAAACTAGTTAGTAGCAGAGGTAGGCTTTGAACTCATTAGATAGAAGTGTGCTCACTGGGAATACAGTGCACAATTCTTTAGATAGTCTTAGCTCTTATTGTAAAGTAACAAAATGGTAACTACAAGTGTGGTTAGCAAAACATTCTCTGATACTATAGCAATTGTAAGTAGAGATGAAGGCCTTGGATCAAGTAATATTATAGGAAATAAAAGTGTAAAGATCTTTTCCGCTACCAAAGACTTTTTTTTTTTTTTAAAACCAAAAACTTACAAAATTTCAATTACCTACAACAGAATTGTCGGGGGGTGGTGGGGGCAGTGGTTGTCTTGTTTTTGAGGCAGGATCTCACTCTATTACCCAGGCTGGAGTGTGGAGGTTCAAACATAGTTCACAGCAGCCTCAACCTCCTGGGCTCAAGTAATCCTCATGCCTCAGCCTCCCAAGTTGTTGGGCCCATAGACTTGTGCCATTACACTCGGCTAATTTTTAAAAATTTTTTGTAGAGATGAGTCTTGCCATATTGCCTAGGCTGTTGGTTTTCTTTTTTTTTTTCTCCCCACACTTTTTGGGCCTCATAAAATCATGAAACTGCTAACTGAGCTCTCAAACTGGCAGGATTAAGATGGGGCATACCGAACAAACTACATACATGTATCTCCTCTGCTGGGTAATATCATCAAAGGTCAGTGGAAAACTTGAAATATTACTAGAAACAGCTTTTCAAACTGTAGGCTGTAGCCCATTAGTGGTTATAATGTGTGTGTGTGTGTGTGTGTGTGTGTGTGTGTGTATGTTTGCTGCAAAGAAAACACTTAAATGTTTATAGGAGAAATATCTGTCTCTCTATTGCCTCCCCCTGCCCCCCACTCTCTCTCCCTTTCTCTCTCTCTCTCTCTCTATATATATATACACACACACAAACAACTTTTAGGAAGGAACATACATTACAAGAAAGACACAGCAAGAGAAAGTAAATACTACAAAATTACCTCTACAAGATGTCTCAGAACTTTCCATAGAATCTAGCTTTAAAGCATCGAACACCTCAAAATCAGATTTCTTGACATGGATCAAATTGTTAATAGTGCCGAGCTGACTGGTAACCACAGGCTGAAACAGTGAATACAAAAAATTATTGAATCTTTCAAATCTATCTCTCCCATCCAACCTTCCTTTTTTACTAAAATTTACACATGATTGTACTCAGCACCTCCACATTTTATCAAGAGAGAAATCCTCCAGTGTAGAGGGGCAGTTGCCCATCAGTCTTGACAGAAATGACAGCTAAAATGAGACTGCTAAGTCAATGGTTACCCTTGGAGATCAAGGCCTTACCTCTGATGGATCATGAACCCACTGTCCATCCACAAAGAACTTGTATTGGTGCTCTCCCTCAGGGAGGTCCAGGATGGCAACAAAGTCATTATGGCTACAGAAGAAAAAAGAAAGGCAGACAGGCCAAGTTTCTTTTAGAAGAGTGAATGTAAAAAACAAATGGCAATCATAGTATCATATGAATAATTTCCCAGATTCCTAAGCCTTGTATCCCTGGTGTAAAAAACAACATATAAACCCATTCTCCTTTTCTGTATCATCTTGGACATGTATTTACCAGCTCCTCCCAACAACGTTAGTTCTTAACCAATATCTGGAAAAGAATAATAAAAACATTAATCCCCTCAAATGGTTCACCTTAGTATAACTATTTTGCTTCAGTAGAACAAGTTCCTCAGCAGTGCAAATGAGATAGGTAGGTTCAGGATACAGAAGTGCCTCAAGGTACTTTGTTTTGGTGAACCTTTTCTGGAAAATGAACTACCATACAAAGGCTCATTCTGACAACCAGTTAAATCATTCATTATTGCTTTGGAAGCAACGAATAACATGACTACCTAGAACTTCAAAATATGTTTTGCTTTAGTGCAGAAGTCAGAGCAACAAGACTCAGCCAGTTACAGAAGACTTCCCACAAGCATAGACAGGACTTGTATGACACAGTCCTAAAGAATGTAGTCACAAAGCTATTATGAATCCCTCTGAGGCAATGAAATTCTAAGGGATAAAAGACCTCTGACTCACTATGAGGTTAAAAAAATCCCACAGATATACTAAGTGGCCACAGAGATATGTTCTAGAGAGAGTCCTTAGCAGGTGGAGAAAAGTAGTCCAGCTGGGTCTCTCTTCTGAGAAAAGAAATCAGGTCTCTATTCCTGGACCCTTAGATTCAACCAAGATACTTGTCACCTCTTAATCAGTGGAATCTTGGTGCTCCAATTGTTGAAGGACCCAGAGATGAAGACCTCCTTGCCTCCTTCAGACCAGCGGATAACAGTGGGCCGGGCCTGCTGTGTGGGCTTTACGGAGTCCTCCAAATCCTGCTGCCATGATACAAACTCTTTGTCCCCAGGGAGCTGTAAGAAGGAGTAGGTCATCCCTAGAATAAACTGTGACCCAAGAATTCTAAAAAGGTCACTCTCCTTCCTAGAGTAGAGAAGGGTGCTAGGCTTTGGCTAAGGATATAAACCCCAAAATTAGCAACTAAATCAGAGTTTGAACAAATTATAGAAAAAGCACTCATCTAGGACCAAAAATGGTCAAATGGCCTATGCTCAAGCACTGCCCAAATCACAGCTTAACTTTTGAGTCTACCTATATCACTCACCCTTTCACAGCCTTAGACTCTCCCATTAAAAAAAAAAGAAAAAAAAACTAACTCCCTACCACTAGTTTAACTCATAGGCAGGCAATTATGATATGCTTCTGAGTCTTTCTTATTTTTTATTTTTTTTATTTTTTATTTTTTGAGACAGAGTCTTGCTCTGTCACCCAGGCTGGAGTGCAGTGGCGTGATCTCAGCTCACTGCAAGCTCCACCTCCCGGGTTCATGCCATTCTCAGGCCTCAGCCTCCTAAGCAGCTGGGACTACAGGCACCCGCCACCTCGCCCGGCTAATTTTTTTGTATTTTTTAGTAAAGACGGGGTTTCACCGTGTTAGCCAGGATGGTCTCGATCTCCTGACCTCGTGACCAGCCCACCTTGGCCTCCCTAAGTGCTGAGATTACAGGCGTGAGCCACCGTGCCCAGCCTGTTACTGAGTCTTTTTTAAGAGAGAGAAAAAAAAATGAAAACAAAGTATGGTTCTGTAAAAAATAATTAAGTCAGCCATATACTTTTATAGGCAAATATGAATAGTTCTCAATTACCAGTTGTAATGGAAGTTAGAGATATCAAAATTCTAGTTTATAAGTAATTCATAAACTCTATTTCAGCTAACAAGTTACAAAAAGAAGAAACATTAAAAATTCAAAAACCAGATCACTGATTTCTTAAAACTTGAGAAGTGGCTATGACATCTTACTTACTCCCCTATCCCAGGTTTACACTAATTATTTCAGGAGCAGGAATAAAAATTCTAGAACCTCAAGGAGCAAGAGATCAAAAAAAAATTTCCTTTGTCAAAAGTAGCTCTCTTATTAAATGAGGTTTGTGGGATTGTAAAAACAGTAACTCCAGTTTCTTTTCATTACTATCCTTTGGACCACGAGTTGGCAGCCAGCCAGTGAGCTAGATGCTTTTATCAAGTTTTATTTGAAAATAGCTCTGCCCGTTTGTTTACCTATTATTTTATTTACTGATTGACTGAGAAAGGACCTTGCTCTATCACCCAGGCTGGAATGCAGTGAGTGGTGTGATCATAGCTCACTGCAGCCTTGAACTCCTGGGCTCAAGCCATCTTCCCACCTCAGTTTCCAGAGAAGCTGAGACTAGAGGTATGAACCTAAATACCTGCCTTGCTTACCTACATTGTCTATAGTTGCTTACATGCTAGAGTGGCAGAATTGTGTAGCTATAACAGAGACTGTATGGTCTACAAAGTCTAAACTGTTTACTATCTGGCCCTTTACGGAAAGATTGCTGACCCCTGTTTTAGACAGGTTTAAGTGACTTTGGTGAAGAAGACTGTATAGTATTAAGCCTAAGTATTACTAAATAGAATAATGTGGGGTTTTTCTTTTTCTTTCTTTCTTTTTTTTTTTAAAGGACTAGCTTATTCATTTGGGCTTTCTTTTCAAAATGGTTGACATAGTTTCCCCTCCATACATTCTCTTGATATTCCTCAAAACTACAGTATAAGACATCAGCAGCAGGATAATCCAAAGTAAATAGAGAAAGAGAATTGAAAGGACTTTCACATAAGGAATTGACTTCAGAGAAAACTACATATTATCAGAACGATGCACCCTTGCCTAACTGGCTGCGTTAGAATCAAGAATTTGACATATGCCTAAGAATAACCCTCAGATTCTGATATGAGATCTGGGAATCTATTTTTAAAAAGCTTTCTAGATAATACTGGGATTACGTTAAAATAAAGAAAAAAAGCTTCCCAGATATACCGTGATTATGTTAAAATAAACAACCCTCATCTTTAGAGGTACATCCTAAAATGTTACAGATAAAATAATATTTGATACAACGTCTGGGAATTTGCTTCAAAATAACTAGTGGGGGAATAGTGGACTGGGGTATAGATGTTATATGTTCATTCAAGATCTGATCATTGTTCAAACTGGGTGGCACGTATATAGATGTCATTATATTGTTTCCCCCTACTTTGACAATGTTTAAAATTTTCCAAAAAGTATTTAAAGAAATCTGAGGTGATTCTAATGTGCAAACAGGATTGAGAACCACTGAGCTAGTCCACTGAAAAAGGCAGGCATTCAAGCAAAGTAGGCCCCCCTACCACTGTTTCTATCAGTTACTTTTATGACAGGATTTTCAGTTTAGAATTTGAAAGCTACAAACTATTAATATGCCTAGCTTTGGAGGAAAGCCCTTCCACTTATGACATGACATTTCTGTAGTAGGAATGAATGCGGCTGACGAGCAGAAAGATTATTTACTCCAAGTTACTCAGCAAAACTACCAAGAAAAGAGGCAAAACAACAATTAGAACTACAGTTTGATGTTTAAGTAAAATGTTGAGGTTAGAAGTAAAGAGGGTAGATTGAGAACTATAAAATATTAGATTTAAATGAGACCTTAGGAATTATCTGAACTAATTTTCAGACAATCTGAAAATTATATGAATAATTTTCTTAATTCACAAATGCCAAGACTGATGTGAGAGATAAGAATAATACAAAATAGGCCCCAGTTCAGACAGAGCAACCTGGCTTTTAATCAGGACACCAATTACTGCAGTCACAGTTCAACAAATACACTGTATTTAAATCCTGAGTCATCAGCGTAGGAAAAGGGTAAAAATATAATGAGGCAGATCATCTTTCGAAAGCTTTGAATAAGTAAATTTAGATGCCTTGTAGATAGCCCAAATAAGAATGGAGAATAAACACCAGTAAGTGCTCCTTTTAATCACTCTCACTTCTCTGTGATTATGGTTTTTTTTTTTTTTTTTTCTTTTGAGACAGAGTCTCACTCTGTGGCCCAGGCTGGAGTGCAGTGACTGGATCTCCACTCACTGCAGCCACCACCTCCCAGGTTCAAGCGATTCTCCTGCCTCAGCCTCCCGAGTAGCTGGGACTACAGGCATGCACCACCACGCCCAGCTAATTTTTTTGTATTTTTAGTAGAGACGGGGTTTCACCATGTTGGTCAGGCTGGTCTCGAACTCCTGACCTCAAATGATCCAACGGCCTCGGCCTCCCAAAGTGCTGGGATTACAGGCGTGAGCCACCGCGCCCGGCTGTGACGATGTTATCAATTGAGATCCAAGGAATCCAAATTCCACGTGCTACCAATACGACAAATAATACTCTATTCACTCTCTAAAGCCCCAGTTCCCTGGGAAGTGACGAAATGATAGGAAACATCAAACACACCCCAATCTCCTCAAGCCCTCCATTTTTCTATCTCATCCAGTCAGTCTACCTGGAGAAACTACATGTATTTCATGCTGACAGCTCTAAAAGCGATTAGAAACATTAGAATGGTAATCGCTGCTATCAGCTCCATCTGTCCTTTCTTACAGAGTGAAAAAACAAGTTGGCTCTTCCTGAAAGTCCTTGGAATTGAGAGCAAGGTCTTCAAGGCAGCTATGGGTTGTCGCTTTTTAGCCACGCAACATTTTGAAGTACTACTGGAGAGTAAACAAGTCGTGGAATCACTGGCTCTTCCACCTGCGGAGCAGCAGCGGGGCGTGAAAGAGGCACAGCCTCAGTCACCACAACTATAAAGTATGGGACAAAAATTAAGCAGTCAACCAAATGATGTCCTTAATTGATCCCCAAGACTAGGGAAAAGTATTCAGTAAGCAAGTAGTTGCTGCTTACAGCCGTGCCAAAAGGGAAGAAGATCACAAGTGCAGAGCTGCTAGAAGGGCAAAAATGATACTGATACATAGAAATTTTCAGAAAAAGAATTTCATGTAGCCACCTCAGGGCAAAAGTGAGAAACTACCACCTATGGTCAGCAACTCGTGCAACCTACCCTCTGAAGTTGTCCACCAGGGCTAACAAACTACAAATTCAGCAACGCTATAGAGGAGAGCCACTCGTGCATGTTAGGAAGAACCAAGGATCGGGGATGTCTATTGTCCCCATCCTAAAAATGTGGCCAACAGATTAGTCAGAACACCAGGAAAACAAGAACTCCGCCTCTTTATCCTATTCTGAGGCGGCACTGCAAGAGGGATTACCATTCAACACCTCTGCCCCCGAAAAATCCTTTTAATTCAAAAAACCATAGCCCGGTTCGGCGCGGCAGAAAAGAACCAAGAAAGGGAAGAGGAGCCCGGAAATCAACCCGCTGCAGTACTGCCACCAACTGCGGGCGTGGGACGCTTACCTTGGAGTCGGGGAGGCTGAATACGCTGGGGTCGTCCGTACTGCCCACCATGATCTTGTGCTCCTTCCCCGGGGCATGACCGCCTGCGCCCTCGGAGCGTGCAGCCTTGGCACCGTGGCGCTCCCCGGACACCCGGTCGCTGGTGGTGTTTCCCATGGCTGCAGCTTGTCGGGGACCACCTACCGCGGAGAACCACACCGGGCTGGGAACACCTCAGTAGCCGCGTCAGGGGCGCCCCCCGGCCCCGCCCATACGCCTTGGGACAGGGCAAGGGATTTCCCCGCCCCAGGGAAGCCAAGCCCCGGAGCCTTCTCCCTCCTGGCCTGCGGGAATGCCTGCAAATACCCCGGTGCCCTCGCTGCCCCTAGTCAGGAAACCCGCTATCGGGACTCCCCCGCGTCCCCGCGCTCACTGCCAGGGGCGCCCCCACGCCAGTCACCTCGGGCGATGCGCTCCCTCCTCCAGGGGCCACTGAAGTGATGACTGTTCTGCAGATCAGGCCACCAATAAAGTTATTGAAATTGAAGCCGCACCCCTCGCTGGCGATCAGCGATTCCTCCTAAAATGGCTACAAGGCCGGCGGCGCGGAGTCGGCCCCGTGCGCGTTCCCTGCGGCCTGCAGCCTCGGCGTCCCGGGCCCGCCGGCCTCTCTAGCCGCCGCCGCCTCGATGGTGGGCAGTCGCACGCAGCCTCCAGCGCCAGGAGGGGGCGCCAGGCGGGGCTTGTGCCGCCTGGGGAGACTGCACCCGGGATCATTGGAGCGCTGGGCCTCTGAGACTACCCGGCGGAAGGGACGTTCCCACAGGACACTCGGAGGCCGCCTCCCTGGGCTCCGGCGCTCGGTGCCGGGAGAAGCGACGCGGCTTTCTACCCCGCCTCAGGTGCGCCAGCACGTTTTCTGGGCAGCATCTGTGTGTTAGGCGACGGGAGAGGGGGGTTCCTTACAGGGAATAAGAAAACTGAAACTGACTTCCAACTGCAGGCAGAAGGAAGCAATGGCCATTGCTGGAGGTTAAAACTGTTCTGGCCGGGCGCGGTGGCTCACGCCTGTAATCCCGGCACTTTGGGAGGACTAGGCGAGCGGATCACGAGGTCAGGAGATCAAGACCATCCTGGCCAACAAGTTGAAACCTGGTCTCTACTAAAAATACAAAAATTAGCTGGGCGTGGTGGTGCGCGCCGGAAGTCTCAGCTACTGGGGAGGATGAGGCAGGAGAATCGCTTGAACCCGGGAGGTGGAGGTTGCAGTGAGCCGAGATCGCGCCACTGCACTCCAGCCTGGCGACCGAGCGACACTCCGTCCCCCCGCCCCCCCGCCCCCCCCACAAGAAAAACCTGCTCAATGGGGAGCGACAAGGAAGGAGCTGTCAGCCCGACTGGGGTCGCAGGGAAGAATTCAAGATGGCGTATTTAGGAGCTAGACCTTGACAAATTAGTAAAATGTTAGTCTTAGGAGAATAACGAAAAGGCTTTCCTAGTCTAAGAAACAGCATACGCAGTGAGAAACCTCAGAAGAAATAAAACTCAAGGAAGATGGCGACAACGAAAACATCAGAAGGAACCCTAAAGGTATAAAAAAGGCAAAGACAGTCGTAGGGTTGGGAGGGATCCAGGTTTTTTTATGAAAATTGGTGGAATCCCTAAGGTACTTACCTTTGTATTAGAAGTATTTGCATGTCTCCTCTACTAGAAACGTTTATCTGTGTTACACAGACCAGCAGCGTTGGCATCACCTGGGAGCCTGTTAGAAATGTAGAATCAGGCCCCATCCCCAGGGTTCAGAATCTGCATTTTAACAAGATCACATTAACGTGTGTGAGAAGCAATGCTTTGACAGCTGGCAGAGAGCAGATCCAGATTTGATACCTTTTCATATTCTGCATGTACCTTGTACAGAGCAGGCTTTTGCATTTGCGGAATGAAGGATACAGGAATACTGTTTACTGTAATCCATTTCTAACAAGATATGCCACTTAGGCTTAAACACGGCCAGTGATGGAGAACCCCAAGTTACATAGGCCACCCTTTCTGAGTGAGCAGCTCTATTTGTTGAAAAGTTCATTTTTATATTATGAAGTTGACAGCCCACTTAAGTACAACAAATTCACTACTCCCCCATTCTTTGCCCCTTATAAACTCATTCTTTGGCTCATAAACCAAAGACAGTTTACAGGAAGGAAAAAAAAAAAAAGGTACGGTTTTACTGCAACTTCTTCCTAACCCCTCTGAAATCTTTACTGTCTGAGTACATCCTTTTTGGTTATCCCTACCTTTCTCCCTCCACCCCTCAATTCCTTACCATAGGACACTGAAGCAAGGCCCTTCCAGGTGTGATACATTAAACCTTGACTTGTGTAGTAGTCAGTTTTCTGACCCCAAGGTGGTTTCACCATGCCAAATAATATGTCCTTGGTATGTATTTCCTTGCAGTAGTGAAATCAGCTTAGCAGAAACAAACTAAGTATGTTAGCCAATGGAAAACTGAAGGAGAGAAATAAACTGTTTTTACACAGCTAAATGGAAATGACTTTTGTATTATCTCCTTTGGAAGATTATCCATGACACTGTTCTGCCCTGCTCTGCTCTAACAACATTTGTAAGTTACTCAACAGTTAATAATAAAAGTCAATTTTGAATATTGCATGTTTTAGACGCAGAACAAATGTAATATGACACTGTAGGAAGAATGAATTCTCCTTAGTCCCAAATTCCTTTTTTTTTCTTAGATTCAGGGATAAGTAGGTAAAGATACAAGATCTTCTTAACCAGTATCAGTATAATTGTTCCCTTTAGATTTATTGCTGTCACCCCAATGCTCTTCTTTCTAAAGGGAAGGAAAAGAAGGGGGTAATAGGAAAAGTAATTGGTGGGGGTTGTCCTGATGTTACTGTGTCTAGGACATCATTGCCACTGGTCTCCTCAGATCGACCATTCTGCCTAATAAACAGGAAAATAACATGGGCAACCTCATATGCAAGCGTTTACACACACTGCTAAAGAGATCTTGCTTCCTCTGAGAGGTGAGGATGTGAGAATGAGGGAAGAGTATATTGATTTTACAGAACTGGATGACAGGTTAAATTGGGCATCTGGAGGCTTATATTCCCATCTCCACTCACCAAGTTTCATCCTCCATTTATGACCAAGGATAGGTATAACATCTAATCTTGATGGTTACTGTTTCAAAAAACAATCTGGTCTTTTTTTTAAAGTTAAGCATTTACTTAATCATGTAGCATAGTAATTCCCACTCCTGGATATTTATCCAAGTGATATAAAAACAAGTTTACACAAAACCTGTAAGCACATATATGTCTTTATTCATATAATAGAAAAACATAAACCCTAAAATGGAAAAAAAAAACATTAATGTCCTTCACCTGGTGATATGGTTTGGTTCTGTGTCCCCACCCAAATCTCATCTCAAATTGTAATCCCCACGTGTTGCAGGAGGGACCTATAACCTCCACATGTCAAGGAAGGGAAGTGATTGGAGCATGGGGGCGGTTTTCCCCATGCTGTTCTTGGAATAGTGCATGAATTCTCAACAGAGCTGATGGTTTAAAAGTGTTTGGCAGTTCCTCCTTCATTTACACACACTCACTGACTCCCACCTGCTGCCACATAAGACGAGCTTGCTTCCCCTTCTACCATAACTAAGTTTCCGAAGGCCTCCCCAGCCATGCAGAACTATAAGTCAATTAAACCTCTTTTCTTTATAAATTACCTAGTCTCAGGTATGTCTTTATAGCAGTGTGAAAATAGGCTAATACATCTGGTGAATCAATAATTAAAATGTAGCATAGCTATAAATGGAATACTACTGAGTAATAAAAAGGTATAACTCAATACATACAATAATATTGATGAATCTCAAATGCATTATGGGAAGTAAAAGAAGCCAGGCTCCACTTATATGACATTCTGGAAAAAGGAAGACTATATAGTCAGAAAACAGATCAGTGTTTGCCAGGACTTGGGGATGGGGGTGGGGAGTGATTGACTACAATATGGCATGAAGAAATTTTGAAGGGGAGTTATGGAACAGGTCTAGATCTTGATTATAGTGGAGTTATTTATACTCACCAAACTGTACAATAAAAAAGTAAGTTTTTATTGTATGAAAATTATGCCTAAATTTAAAAAACTATTACTAAAATCAGCGTTAGCAAAAGATACGAGTTTATACACAAGAGACTTCTCAACCATTGGGTAAACTAATTATTTTTAAAACAAATACCATTGATTTTAATCTTTTTATAGTTTTTATACAGGCAGAGAAATAGTAGTGATTCTGCTCACCTAAAGGAAGATAGACCCAATTCATAGGTACAGAATTTTCCCCAAATAGTATCATACTTTTTCCTTTCAGATTCCAAAGGATTTGCATGTAAATTCTATCATGTGATCCTCAGAACCACCCTATGAGGGTTAGCAGAAGAGATATGATCAATAATACTCCATTTTATAAATGAGGTGCAGGTTAAATATTTAGTCAGTATTTCTTGAAGTGATAAGTATAGTCCATTTATTTCAACAAACCTTGATTGAGGGCCCCAATACTTGTGGAGCTTTTGCTGAGCCACCCCTGCTCTAGAGGCGCACACCCTCTTGAAATCTCTAAGGAAACTACTACAACTCTAGATAGATATGGTTTATAGTGATACTGTGACTAAATATTCACAGAAAATTTCCTCTAAAATTATAGACATACATTATTGGAATAATTAGTAACTCAATTAGCATCTTCATTAACTATGTATCTACTATGTATATATCATTACCATATGAGTATTAATTTGGTGCAAAGAGGCTGCCAACTCTAAAATTATTTGACGTAGGACAAGTACTTTTATCTTTCTAGCCATAAATTTTCTCATCTGTAAAATGAGAGGATTACGCATGTGATCATTAAATCCTGGGTTAGGGTAGGAGGCATCAATATGAAATGTTTAGCTTAATATAGATACAGATCAGTAAATATAGAAATACTTAAAAATACATGTGGATTCATGTGTAATACATTACTATACACACATATATTTCCAAGTTCTGTCCTCCAAAGGCCTAGAAGCAATGACAAGCAGAAGCAAGGAGCACACCCAGCATACAGTTCTTGGTTTCTAATACTGTTCTCCAACAAAAGGAACCAGAACCCTTGAGAGAAATGCCTAATTCTAGGACTGGGGCAGGGGATATACAAGATGAGTCTGAAACATCTTATAGTGTCAGAAAGTAAACAAGTGCTTTAAAAAGACACAAAAAACTGATGGTATATCAAAGTGACATTGGAGCCAACTAAAAGAGTTCCCAATGGCTAAAGCTAGAATAATACAAAAAATAAGTAATTCAGCATTGGATTATAACCCAAATTATAAAATAAGATCCATGATTTCATACTGATACAAGTAAATGATTGAAGAAACAAATAATTGGGAGATAATTCTCATATTGAAAAATTCCAAAAATTTATGTTCTCTACCCTTGAGAAGATGGAACATAATTCTCTACCCCATAAGCGTAAGTCGAGCTTAGTAAATTTGTTTCAAAGAGCACAGTATGGAAAGGAGGAAGAACACTACCTCAACCAGCTCATCAAGGCTGACATCTCTAGTAATGTCATTAGTGGCATGTAACCTTGATATGATATGATGAGAATAG